CTGTTCCTGGGGCGCTCCAGCAGTGCCAGCCCTGCACAAGGGCCACAGATGTGGTGATCGGGCTCTATAAGATCATGACGTTGGCAAAGTGCCATTTTACCGCAGAACATCTGCTTGACCTGTGACATAAGCACTGGCATAGGGGACAGAGCCAGGTCCGGCCGCAACACAGGTGGGAGCAGGACTGCAAACGCCCCCGCTTTGCTTACCCTTTCCCAAGGGTCTCCAGGAGGGACGTCAAAGCCTGACAGATCCATAGGTCCCATTGTACCCTCCCTTGAAAGTAAATAAATATTTTTAGACATGAAGTCCAGCAAGCTCCTGCCAACCCGGCACCCTGCGACCCCTTGCCAGTGGCACCAAAGCAGCAGTGCTGCCAGCGGGGCTGGGACCCCGGTGTCTCCCCGTCAAGCTGTGTCTGCCCTACTTGCTGAGCTGAGTTTTGCATGCAATGCTGTGTCTGCATCAGGTCATTGCCCCAACCTCTTGACTCATCTTTTCCAAGACAGGACGTGATGCCAAGTATAACAGGTTGAGTGCGGGAGATGACACCTGCCGCTCCTTGCTTCGGCGGGGCTCCCAGTCGCCCCAGTCTTCGGCAACAGGGAAAGCCACCGGGCTGGAGCGGAGCACAGCCAAGGCTGGCTCAGCAGGTTTGGTGCCACCAACCCGGGTGGCCCCATGGGGCAATTCCTCTGGGAGCGCCATGCCCGGCAGCTTCCCTGGCACCGGCGGGTCTGGGCAGGTTTGGCCCATCCAGCACACCTTCTTCATGGCTTTAACTGGAGGGACCAGACAGGATTTGGGGCACAGAAGCTCTTTTGCAGGTGAAAACCCAAACAGCCAGGCCATCGGTGGACATGAGCTCCTGGTGACATGGGCTCACACAGCACAGACGTGCCAGTCCAGCACAGTGTCCATCCCAGTCCCCTTTCCTCTGCAATGACAAATGTTGTATCTCAAATTTATATTCTCAAGCCATAGATGCTGCTATTTCAGCCCTGAGGAAGGGTTTGCAGCCTAGGAAGCTAGTACGTTACTAGGCTTTTTTCCCCTCAAATATCTTGGTTGAATAAAAAGCTATGCCCTCTCCTGGTTCACATCTCCCACTGCCACCCCAGCCCCATCCTGGGGACCGTCCTGTGTCACACTGGTGTGGCCCAGGAAACCTGCAACCTGCCATCAACCAGAATGTCAGGTCCTCATTGGGTTGTAGAGTTTGGCCAGCTTGTTCACATCCATTAATGGATGCACCCCAGAGCACCCTTGTGCTGAGAAAACGGGGATTTATGAAGGGAAGAGCAGCTGAAACCATTCCCCTTTTGCTTGGGTCCTTTCACTACACAGCCCAGGCCTGCTTTTGCATGGCATCACCAGCCCACCCGACCGCTGGGCGCTGCGATGGTAGCCGTGCTCTTCACCACCGCCACGCGCTCCCCGCCAGCCCAAATCTGACCAACGCTGGGTCATAAATATGCTCCGGGGTAGGAAACACTGGCCATGGAATAGAAATAGGAGAAAGCTGCTGTGTCTGCCAGCCATGGCACTGGGTGGGATCGCATCAAAGGAAGCCCCAAGAAGCCCAGGGATGTGTTAGACACCCCATCTGTGCTGGCTCGGTGCTGGCTTACTGGTTATACTGGGGAAAGCCCTGATCAAAGGGGGGAGCGTATGGGTCTGAGAACGATGCAGGTACTTCCATCACTAGAGACAGCAGGGTCTGGGAACGATGCAGGTGCTTCCATCGCTAGAGACAGCAAGGTCTGGGGATGCTGGGTGCTGCAAAGGTCCCTCAATGCAAAAAGCATTGGAAAAAGAAAAAAAATGACACAGAGCCCAGATGGAGAGGTGTGCAGGAAAGGCAATGGTGAGTGTAAATAGGCCGAGAGGGGTTTGGGCTACTGCCAAAAAAACATCTCTGGTGCATCTAGATAGGCTTGCTAGAGGCACGCTGACCAGCCCAGCCAGCACTGTCTCAGCTCCGTCAGCTGGAGAAAGGGAGACGATCCGATCCCACGATGCAAAACTGGCGGCTGCCTCAACGCAGGCTCCTAGAAAAGCCGGTCACTGAGGTGGGAACAGGCATTAGCAACAATGCAGCAGGGAGAAATGAATGGGGTCGCTAACTGGGAGGTGTTTCAGAGCCCACAGGTGGGTGACCATGAGGATGCTGAGAGCCAGGAGGGTGGAAAAACCCCCGACCGCTTAAAACCCAGCACGCAGGAAAGCGGTGAAGTGGGGTTATCAGCCAACCCCAGCAATGACTGCAACTACACCCAAAAAAAAGCAATCCATGGAGGGCCGTTTCTTCAACACCTGTCTCAATCCCCAAATATCCCGATTTTTCCCCCCAAAAAAATAACTCGCGGCTCTGCCATGTACACTCACCGAAATTGTTTTTCTTTATTGCATATTGCCATCTTAGAAAATGTACAGTCTCATAACATTACATAGCATTTCCCGCTAGCTAAGACTACCAACATCCTTGCACCTAACAGACTACCTTGGTCACTACGAAGCTAATAAGGTCCAAGACATATACTTCAGTTTACAAATTATTATGGATTTTTTTTTCCTTTTTGGCATTATTAAAAAAAAAATCATCTTTAAAATACACACCCAAGAAAAAAGAGTGGCTACTTACACCAGCACCAATCTAAAAGTAGTTTTCGACAATGGCACATGGAATTACCTGCACACAGCCTTTGTATTTATTTATAGAGATATAATTTTTTTTGTTTTTTCTTTTTTTTTTTTTTGAAAGAAAACAAAGAAATGGCAAACTCAGCCCGATAACGAAGCTGTTGTAAAACAATTTAAAAAAAAACAACAAACAGGTTTGGAAGGGCAAGAGGAAATCTGTCAGGAAAGGTCCTGATGTGGCACTGGGGTCGCGGAGGCAGGAGCCAGGGGTGGGTGCTGGTGGCCGAGCCCCGCACCCAGGAACCCCAGGAGGCGATCGCCCTTTCCGACTCCCACCGCCTTTCAAATTGAACACGTGTGACCAACCATTCCTTAAACCATCAGAGGCCAGACTTTTTTTTTTAACCTTTTTTTTTTCTTCTTTTTTTTATATTTTAAATTCCCCCCGAAGTCCATTCCCTCAATTGTATCAGCCCCATTTTTTTCAGCCATAAATAAAAAATATAAATAGAGGCACTTTAGTTAAGGAATAGTATTATCATTACCTTTTGTCTTTATTTCCCCCTCCTTCTTAAAGCAAAGTGCTTAACTCCACCTTTGAATATAATCTGCAGGTTTTGCAGCTGCTTGGATACGAGGTGCTGAACTTTTTTTTGCGCTTACCTGCTTTATTTATTACTGCTTTAAATGCTACTCAGAAAGTTTTTTTTTTTCCTTTTCTTTTTCTTTTTTTTTTTTAATCTACAGTGCGTCAAAAGTTGCAATGAAGAAAAGAACAAAATGGTAAAACCACAGCTCTTGACAACTCTGGTTAGAGAGAGATTTCACAGCTTTCACTCAGCACGCAGACTCCGCGGCCTTCAGGTGCTTAGAACCATATTTTTTTATACAAATTAGTTTAAACAGCACTTTTGCTATACAGTACATATAGTTAACTGACATCCCATACCCCACCAGTAATACCGATTATCTGACAAAAAAAAAACCAACCTTATTTCAAATAGTGTTAATATCTAGTGCAACAGGGACAAACTCATCTCTCCACAGGAAAAAGAACAAACAAACAAAAAAAAAAGGATCACAAAAGTATTGGTGGTATAAAAAGGTTTTGTTTTGTTTTCTTAAAAAACACACCACAAATAAATAAAAGTAAAAAGTAACAGTCCTCTATATACTCAGCATAATTTAAGAATAGAAATGTTAATATGTTAATGATGGTTATTTTTTATTCTCCAATTCTTAATTTTCTAAACCTTTAAATTATTACTCCCTGAGAGCTTTGAATTATTTTTATTTTTTTTTTTTTGTCTTTTTTTTTGGACTGACATTTGACAGGTAGTTCTGCTTACAAATTTGCAATGACAATGAACAGCAAACCAGTTGAAAAAAGACCTGGCTAAGAGACAAGCGTTTCTTGGCATCGCTGCTTCTGTGTGTCCGATAAAGAAAAGAGAAAAGAAGGCGGGTGAAAGCCAGTGGGGTTTTGCACCAGCCCCTTTGTATTTCAGAGACCTTTGGTCCTGACCCACCTTTACAGAGGATACAGTTTGTCCCATTGAACAGAAAGCCAGAATAAAAATTATAACGCAAAAGTTTATGCTCTTCGTCTCCTCCGAGAACCGACCTTTCCCACCGTCTTGGGCCAGAAAACGTTATAAAAGTATAAATACATCTGTGTGGCGTTAGAGCAATAATCACTTTGGGGTAAACTTTTTCCTTTAGCAAGGTGGCGGCAAGAGGAAAAAGAGCGTTTCCCAAGGACGATGGGAAGAGCATCGCTGGGAGCGCCCGCGGCACCGAGCTCAGGAACCAGTGCGAAAGCACGGATCTGTGAGTTTTTTTGAATAATCGCAACAACGAGAAAAAAAAAACCAACCAACGGATTAAACTTCAGTCAACTTTGTTTTTTTCTTTTCTTCTTTAAACCACTCGGCTTGTGCGCAAGGCGTCACCCGCAAACGGCCCGGGGGGGGTCCAAGCAGGAGAGTGGTGGGGAGCGGCTTCCCATTGCCTTTGGGGACCACGGGGACCGCCGGCGTCTGCGGGTTGTGTCCTCTCTTGCTCCGCGGACGTGGCATTGTGCTTGTGCATGGGGAGAACTACTTTTCGGAGTGGGCTGGAGGAGAGCAGGCGGCGCTGGCACCCATCAAGGCGGGCTGCCCACGCACCTCCATCCGCGCCCCCGACCCGACTATATACACAGTATATACACACACACACTCGCTCGCAGGGAGAAAGTGTGCCACTGTTTCGCTTTGAATCGCAAGGCAGTATAATGGGAATAAAAAAAACCCCTAGCCACTTCAAAGAGACTAACCCGTGTTTTTTTGTTGGGTTTTGTTGTTGTTGTTTGTTTTTCAGAAGTTGAGCTTGGTGACAGGCCTCTCGCGGCCGCTGTCGGCCAGCTGGTTGGCGATACGCTTGCGGTTGCGCTTGAGCTTGGAGAGGTCCTTGTCGAAGACTTCGCCTGAGCGCAGGGCCGAGACGAGGTCGTCGAATTCGCCACCTTCCTCCCCGCTCTCCTTCGCCTTCCTCGCCTTGCGCTCCCGCTCCCGCTGCTCCTTCAGCTACATGCCATGGTGGGGGGGAAAGGAGACATCTCACCCTTATGCAGGTGGTTGTGGGGGTGCCCAACAGATGTGCGGTGACCCCCAAACCCATGAAACAAGAGTGGTTTCCCACCTCAGTGCTTAGCATGCAAGAGGTGGTCAGGGTTATTGATACAACCCATGGGCTGAGGTCCACAGCCCCATGGCTGCTGTTGGTGGGTCACAGCAGCTCACAGGCAGCACCAGTTCTGCTGCACGTTTTAGCTCCAGGATCTCACCAACCCAAGGTAAATTAAGCAATCAACAGCGAAAAGCAGGTGGGTCTAAGAGCATGGAAGCTCCTTGCCCAGCCTAAAGTGCTCCCTGTGCCACTATGGCCAAGGGCAGCTGTTGGGGATAGCATGGCATGGTTTCCATCCCCGGGTGTCCTGGGGTTGCTGCCAGACTTGCCGGTGCCCACTCACCTGCGCCTCCATGCGCGCCCGGCGCTCCTCCTCCTCCTTCCTTCTCCTCATGTTCTCATTCTCCTGCTTGGCCTCGGTCACGGCTTGAAGGAACTGGTCAAAGATGCCAAAGAACTCATCGGGCTGCATTTTGTCCGTGTCTTCTCCAAAGTGCTTCACAGCCTTGGAAAACTGGGAGAGAGAAGACAGGGGTACGTCAGTCTTGGAGGTATCCACCACACCAGTGAAACGCCCCATGGGAAGCCTTCGACCTGATAGAGCAGAGAAGTGCTTCCAGCGGCCACAGCTGAGAGCAAGGCTTTGCTTCATCAAGCCTTGACTTAAACATGAAATAAATCATCTGACGTTTTACCTGCTGCCCTGTAAGAGCTGACCTGGATCGCTCCCGAGCTCTCTCTCCTAAAACATCCCTCACACAACCCTTCTTGCCTCTGGCTCTGCTGAGCCTCCCCCCACCCCAGCTCAACTTTATTAACTAAGCAGCAGTAAAAACAAGGAAGCAAAATATTGTGGGACCGAAGACTGAAGACATAAAACTAATAGTAAACACGGCAGGGGAAGGGAAACTCACACTTTTAAGTTTTTCTTTGAAGTATTTTTGGGGTATTATTTATCATTGCCACATGCTCTGCTATTGAAACCAAATGTGTTGGTGAAACTTCTAAAAGACATTTCTGCCTGGGCTCAGGCACAGCCCTGGTTAGGGAAATAGGGAGTTTTCCGGCCTTTCGTGCTGTTTGCACACCATTAATGTAAGGGAGTCGAATGAGGCCACAGCAAGGGTCAGAACAGGACATCCATGATCTGCCGATGTGTCCTGGTCCCCAAGGAGCCTACAAGTCATCCTTGGGACTGACATCCTTTGTTCTCACTTCCAGCTTGAAGGAGACTCTTTGTGCACAGAAAGTTTGTTAAAATTGTGATGGCGCATTCTGGAGATAAGCTCACTTAAAAGAAAAGAAAAACAAAATCAAAGCACAAACAGATTTATAGTTGCTTTGATTTTGTTGGGTAGACCGAGAGGAACATTTTTAAAGCCTGCCTATATGATTTAGTTTTATTTGCGGGAGTGCCCCAGGCTCTTCAAAAGACACCTAGGACGTTTTTATTTCTTTGTTTACTTAAGAGACTTAGCACTTCAAGATGCAGGGAGGAATCTGAGAGGTGCCACTATATAAGTCAAAATAATTGAGGTTATTCTTGTTGATTTTCATCAAGATACTGGATTTTTGCCATGTTACGGGAGATTCTGGTGGGGGGAAAGGCTGAAGATGTTATCCTCGCAGGATATAAAGTTTACAGAATAATGATGTTTCTGTTTTCCTAAGAGAAAGCAGTAACAATTTGAATCTGGACATGTGTTTAAAAAGCAAAGAGCTGGTGCACTTCGCACAGCCCATCCTATCCCATAACCATGGGAACAGCTGTGCTTGCTTCAGAGTGCTTTGATGGGCTCTGGGGACCACAACCAGACCTCTTCCTTCAGATCAGATGCGAAGTCAGTAGAAGATGATACAATTTGCAGAGCATTTGCTACCACCTCCACAGTCCTAACTCACTGCAGGCAAGATCTGCCAGGTTACTGTCAACAGTTTAAAAAGGTGGCCTGGTTTATCCATAGCCTCAGGAAGGCAATGGTCAATCATAATGCCCAAGCATGGGTGGATGGTCTGAAGGACAGTGCCAATTGGACATTGGTACAACCAGGGAGAAGGAGGTGGTGACACTTGGTAACTTCTGTCTTTGGAGAGGTAACTCATGCAGTAGGACAAGGATGGGACCTCTAAAATGGCCTGTGCTGGACTATCTCCCTGCCACTTCAATCAAGATGAAGGCCAGGCCAGGGGAGAGACACTGGAGGACTGTTTTTTGAGGAAATGGAAACTAGCTGTGTGCCTCTGCTGAAACAGGAGAAGCAAAAGGTGCTTGGGAATCACAGATGTCAGCCAGCAGCCACTCCTTTGCTGTGGCTTAAACCAGCCTGGTAGGCAGAAAAGGACAACATGGCAAGAGGACATTGCACATGGCTACAAAGCACTCACCAAGGCATTACTCTGGGGGAGATGAACCTTTTAAGTAGCTTCTCTAACCAGGTCTGAAGTTGGCCTCAATTCATGTCACTGAGCTCCTCTCCCTCTTCTCTGGAGAGAAGAGCTGGGCAGGTCTCAGACCGAAGTTACGCATTGGGTGTTATTTTGCCCTATAGAAGTGGGGTCACTCAGGCAGCCTGGGTTGTCTCTGATATCAACCTCTGGGTGACCTCCTGTCCAGCCTGAAGACCTGGTTGCATTTTTTCCTCCTCTTCCATCAACACCAGACAGAACAGCCTGCTTTCTTGCCACCTTCAGCCTTCATTGGCCAAGATGGCCCAGCTGCCACACTCCTAACTCTAAAGCCACCAAAACTGGGATATTTCCACTTTAAGACACGGAAAGCAAAGCAAGCCCTCTAGGCTTGAGTGAAAGCTCTTCACCAAAACTCAGATCCTCACAAATGACCTATCATCTCCTCCCCTGATGGACACAACTCTCCCAAGGATAGCCCCTGCTTTGCACTTGCAGAAGATATCTCATGGTATCTCACGGCTTTCTACAGCACATTTTGTGTCCTAGAAGCAGTCTGTTGGCCTGACCTGCGATCCCCTGGCGTGTTGGGTTGTGGAGCAGGAAAAAGGCCCCGGGGACAGACAGGGATGTACCCACCCACCCACTCCAAACAAACCACAAAGAGCAGCCCAGCACCTTTCTCATGTCAGGGTCTCAGCAGGACACTTGCGTGATCTTGTGTGGGAGGTATCTGAGACGTTAACACACAGCATGTGCTCTGGGAAGGCCAGGACCATCCCTCCTCTGTCAGCTGGAGGAAAGGCTGAAATGCTACCCAGCTCTCAAGGACGTTGGTGACCTTACCAGCTCTTTTGCTTCCATCAGAAGATCTTCGACATCCGAGAAGCTGAAGCTGGCTAATGTGATGAACTGGCTGACGACAGACACAAACTTGTCACCTGTTTGCTGAACCTGAGACTTCTGGAAGTCCAGCTCCTTTGGGGAACAAAAATGTAAATCTGGTCAGACCCTGGCTGATGGGGAACACAAATACCATCGGTCTCTGGTAGTGCCTTTGGGTGTGTGCCTGTATCAGAGCCACAGGTACTGGCTGCACCACCACCACTGCTCCCTCTTGCCATGTGTGAGACCATGGATTATCCTGTTTTACAATATCATGCCTGCAGTACGCTTTTAAGGCCAAATCCTGCAGGAGAGATCGTGGAAGCAGCATAATTTAGCAAGACAGCGAGTCCTTCGGGATACCTCCACCATTTCATCACCATTCCAGCCGGGCTGCAGAAGCGCTCCAGCCTGAGCCCCAGCCCGCTGCGGTTTTACAGCCAAAGAGAGACCCCTCGGCACATCACAGGTTCTCCACGGCCATCATCATTAGACTTACTCAGCCTCCCTTCGCATATTAGATACAAATGATGCACATGCCTAACCACATACAGTAACTTCAGTGCCAAAACAGCCCTAAGAGGACAGGCGCACGTGCAGGGCCGGAAGGAAAGACAAACAGATTTCCAGGATGTGAGATAAAAGCAGCTTTGCTGGGAGCTCCCTCGCCTGCCTCCCTACGGAGGGATGCCGTGGCACTTGGAGCAAGGCTGGACTATATTTGATTTAAATAGTACTTACAGTCTCTACCGCTTTCAGGCCGCTCCTCAGAGTGTTTATTTCTTTCTCCAGCTCAGTCATGCTGTTGGAAATGGCAGGATGTTAATTTTCAGCCTTCCCCAGCAAATTCTACAGCTTTCTGACCAACTCAACCGTGTTTTTCCACTGAAAAGACCCCAGCACTGCACACATTGCCTCCTGTTTGCAGACCAGCATGTTTTGAACAGCAAAATGGGCTGACAGCCTCAAAGCTAGGACAACCACCCATCTCAGAGTGGCTGCAGTTGCTTGTTTTAAAGCAAAGCACTTTTCTGTATTTTTAATCAAGGGGACTGTGCAGGCTTAGCAAGCTCAGCAGCCTCCAGACCTCTCCAAGTAAAAGGAGAGCTCGGGAGAGGGTTTTGCTGGGCACAGATTTCTCTTCCCCTCTCAAGGGCCAGCAGAAGATAGGCTTGATGCCCCGTTGCACAGTGGACAATTTTTCAGGGAACCATGGTTAGGTGAATGCCATGCAAAGCATCCTTCCGAGCAGCAAGGATTTCATAAAGGGAGACAACCCAAATATAGAGAAACAAAAATAAATCATCGCGTCTGGTGCTGACTGTGTTTACACAAGGCTCAAGCCCCTGATGAGCGTCAAGTTCAAGTGCTTATGGCTTTCTACCACTACATCTGAGTGGAAGCTTTCTCACAAAGGCTCGATGACCACAGGCTTGATGTCTTTCCAGGGGTGTCTGTCCTAGGGCTGGGGTCCCTGGAAACGCTGACGTCAGGTCATGGGGCAAGCTTTTCTGGCAGGTTTAGTCTGGGAAAATGCAGTTTTGGGAGCCCTGTGCTCCAGCAGTTCATTACTAGCGGTGGGATTGACAGAGGCGGCAATTTTGCTTCACAGCTGCAGGGCTGGGGGGAATTTAGGGTTTTCCAGAGCTTTAGAAACTTTTTGGTTTTACTCTAGATTGGACCAAACCCAAATATTACATATGGTGTCCAGTTTAGAGCAAAATGATGAAGTTTAGGGGGAAAAAAAAAACCTCTATGCAGACGTTTTCTTTCCCATACGTGTATCTGTACAACAGCTGCAGATACAGGAGCATGAGAAAGCCAGAGCCCACTG